TTACGTGTTGGTTGTCGGCTACCTAACACGTAGCCCTCCTCCTTAACCCGGGCTTCAAACTATTCAAATAGATTTCAAATAAGCCTCTGTACCCAAGAGTTGTTTGGTAAATGTTGTACATGGACAAAGTATCAGACACCTTCGTGAGGAAAAAAACAAAAAATAACGTTAATAATAATAATATAGAATTGTGAATATAGAACGTAAAAATAAGAGAACTATGTGGTAGCAATCGAAGATAACCTTAATGTAAGGGGTCCAAAATAAAATTTGCTCACATTTCCTTTTTAAGTATTTCCAATTTCATATTTTAATCCTAGATTAACTTCTATCTCAAAAAATCCTAGAATAACTAACACATAATAATCAAATTAAAATCCCAATAGAATCAAAATTTGAGATAACATATGCAAGCTACACGTCAATTTTCTATCTATTTGCGTAATAAATCATTAGTCGAAGATTTACATTGATACAAATTGATAGTTTAAGTGGGTGAAGTGTAATTTGCTTAAGCCAAAAGGTTATTTTCATTTATTAAAGTCCAAATTGAAAAAAAAAATTAATAGAAAAGAGAAGGGGGGGAGGGGTTTAGTGCTATAATTTTAAGTTCAATAGGAAAAAAGTGATATAATTTGCCAAAAGTGATATAATTTGCCTAAAGATCTATGTGCTACAAAGAGAGAGAGAGGGGGGGGGGGGGTGAGACTATGAGTAAACTTCTTAAAAACTGGCTTACAAAATTTTTAATGATAAGTTATTTTAGAGACTATGACAAAATATTTTAAAAATTGGCTTACAAAATATTTTAGAGACTATGACAAAATATTTTAAAATTTGGCTTACAAAATTTTTAATGATAAGTTATTTTGACATAAAATATTTTACTTACTTTTTATTTAATCAAATAATATAAAAAATATCTAATTATTTAAAAAAATTATTTTATGTCAAAACAAACCAACATTCTTTGCTAGTTGATTTTGATCCCAACTAATAAATTATCTTTTATTTGATTTTCCCATTTGACAACTCCATTTTCTAGTTAAAAAGTTAAAAAAATTACTAAAACAAATAAAAAAGCCAACAAATTATACGAAAACGTTAAAGATTTTCTTTTCTTCCTACTTTTTGTAAGTTTTTTTTTTCTTTAAAAAGCCAAAAAATATCCAAAATATAATAATTTTTTTAGCTCATACTTTAACTAAAAAGTTAAAAAATTATTAAAATAACATATTTTAATACGAGATTACCTCTCTTTTTCTTACAAGTTGATATCTCTTGGATTTCTTCCCTTTCTACATAGCTTGTGCTCTTCACCATCATCATAATTTGATACTGATCTCTTGTTCTTCTATGTTATCCTCTTCATAATAATTTGATATTAATTGATTTTCTTCAACCTTGTCAATCTTGTTTCAACCAAAAATAAACTTATAGGTTTTTCCCTTCTATAATTATGGTTTTACAAAGCAAAGATTTTTTGGAAGGTCTACCCCTCTTTGTTTTTTTTTTGTTTTTTTTTTTTTTTTTTTGGGGGGGGGGGTGTGTAAAACCAAACCCCTCTCTTTAAAATGTGATAGTTTTTAACTAGCAAATGTTTTTGCCACAATAATTCTCCAGAAAATAAAGTTCACTTGGAAGAACATTTGAGCTCCATTCTTCTCCAAGTGCTTTAATAATGAAGCCAAAGAAATTTTGAATTGGTTCAACAACAAATACTTGCAAGCTACAAAACACTACAATTTTGAATGAATTTTAAATGACCTCTGTTAAAATTTTATTTATTATTAGTTCAATGTTCGGTTCTCTACTTCAATTGAAGAATAAAATATTAGAAGAAATGATGATATCACAGAGCAATATCATTATTCAATAAGTAATTTCACTTTGCAGTAAAGACTGTGATATCGTTGAATTAATGAGAGACAAAGTATGTCTAATCCCATTACTACTTTTTATTAAAAGATAATATCACATAAGATGGTATTAATATTACATTCAATATTTTTTTCTTCCATCGAGGTTATTTGACTAGGTAATTGTATAGGGTCTAGTTTCCCTCTAGTGCCATATTGGACTAGAGGGTATTGTTAGGCTCTTAGGAGCCCACCACGAGTCCCATTTCGATAATCTGAATCGTTAATGTGTAGTACTCATCGAATACTATATGCTTGTAAAAACTCACATTGATCGGATATCGACAGTTACATGATCAAATCAGTTTTGTATAAAAAAATGAACGGTAAAAAAATAAACGGTTGATAAAAATCTGATTCGATAAAATAGCTATCGACATCCGATCAACGTGATTTTTTACAGACATATAGTACTTGACGAGTTCTATAAACAGTTCAGATTATTGAAATGGGATTTGTGATGAGCCCTCATAGGTTCAACAGTACCTTTTAATCTGATCTAAGACTAGAGGGAAGTCAGAGCGAATTGTGTAGTATATGTAAAACAAAGGACTACAGAAATTAGTTGGGCAAAGCCCCAAAAGGGATGTAGTTAAAATAATGAGAACTTTAACATTATGTTTGGATCTTAGCTAAGAATTTAAAAACAGATAGAAAATGAAAAAAAAAAAAAACTTATATTAAATTTACATTTATTTTACCTTTTCGTTTTCATTTTTATTTTTAGAGTGCTGTTATTAGCGCCTACCAAAATTCTTTGGACCCCCCATTTCTTTGGACCCCAACCCTAAACCCTAAATTTTAATAATATTTTTTTGGACACCCCACTTATTACCAAATCTACCCGTATTCATAATATTTTCACAATCAAATGCACACCCTCCTAATTTTTCATACCTCTCCTTCCTTGACTGTCAGTCTACTGTATTCATCTTCTCCACACCGATTGAATCCATTTTGTTGCTGAAGTGCCTGGGACATTACTTTTTTTTTTCTTTTTTCTTACAAGTGCTTCAACACTTTCGAATCAAGTGATGCTTCAATTTTTCGGAAATTCAACACTGTCGGAAATTCAACACAAAGGTATGATTTACTGTTGTAGACTTTTTCATCTACCATCAAAGGTATAATTTATTTATCTTTTCTCTTCAATTAATTATAACCACACAAACAAAAAACCCTTTACCAACCAAAACCACAACCACACAAAACCCTAATTGTGGGAGAATATTATAATGTAATGGATGGCCTGATTCTACGTAAAATTCAATTTTTTGGGGGGGAATAGAGGTTTGAATATTATAATCTAATGGATGGCTTGAATATTATAATGTAATAGAAGTCTACATACCAACTAGAAATAAAATTTAAAAAATATATATATTAGAACCCTTTGTCTTTTAGAAAATATGTTTGGCTGGTCCTTTGTCTTGGAGTGTTGGGTGTTTTGGTTATATTTTCTTTGTGCATAAAGAAACCAAAATTTGTTTGGCTAATCCTTTGTCTTGGAGTGTTGGGACCAGTTGCTTTTTTAAGTGTGAGATTTTTATGTCTGTACTGTACATATAGTATAAAATTGTCCCTTTTCTGTTGTTGTAAGACATTGCCATTGCCATTGGTTTTGCCTGTATTTTGAAGTACTTTCATTTCATAATTTATTTATTTTTAAATTTTGTTTTGTTTTGTTTTGTTTTGTTTTTTCCTTTTATGTTACTTTTATTACTTAAACATTAACTAGTAGTGAGGTTAGGTTAGTTTTTGTTATACATTGTTTGTTGTAAATGACAAATCAGAAATTGTCAACAAAGAAAAGGGCACTTGACTCTGTAATATTGTATCCTATTTGAGCCAAAAAAGTTATGTTCTTTTTTATGTAATATTGTACCCTATAAATTCCAAGTTTATATTTGTTTGGTAGGTAAGAAGTAAGAAAATGAAAATTTAGACTTCTATTACATCTGAATTTTAATTCAGGGCAGCAACCAACCAGATTACTTAATTCACATTTTTAGCTTCTTTTCCATCTATTTTCATACATCAACTTATAGCCACATAATCACACAACACTTGTGCTAGTTGTCTTCCACATAAACTAACTCTAATTAGCACAATACACACCATAAACCTAACAAGAGGTAGGTGGGCTGTTTGAAAACAGTGCTAATTTTAGCACATTATATCAACTTGGAGATGCATGTGATTATATTGCAACTATAGGCTTTGGGCCAATGTTGCAACTCATTGGTACTGAAAGAAAATTCACAGCTTTTACTACCTCTTGTGAAAATACACAGCATGTAATACTTAACAAGAGGTAGGATAATTCAACAGCTTATCCTACCTCTTGAATTATATTATATCCTACCTCTTGAATTATATTATAGTATATTATATTATATTATATCCTACCTTTTGAATTCAACAGCTTATCCTACCTCTTGTGTATTTTCACAAAAGGTAGGATAATTTAAGAGGTAGCATATTTTCACAAGAGGTAGGATAATTCAATAGCTTTTCGGAAAATTCACTTTTCTTTAAGTACTTAACAAGAGGTAGGATTTTTTTGTTTTTGATGGCCTTGCTCTTGGCATGCTTCTAATGCATTACAATTCTCAAATTTTGGTCCAACTCAAATATCTTATTTTTAGTAGTTTCTTTTTATTGTTTATTCATTTTGTGTTTGGTAAGAAACTATCTTAGTTTGTTGTTTCCTATTTGAATTGGTCATGACACACCTATTTAAGATAGGCTTCAATGACACATCTAATTGTACTTGGTGGACAGCTATGGTGGAAACTGCTCGAGATCGCCCAACAGCGTCTAGGAGACGTAATGTTGTACTTTCTCAAAAAGTGGCTAAGAGACCTCGACGCACTCATAAGATTAAGGATCAAGTTAGTGGAGTAAATGAACATGACATGAATGACATAGGTGATGCTCTAGCAAAAACGGTTGAGGTTAAAAACGATGGGGGCAATCAATTGAATCTGAGTGACATGGGTGATGATTTGGGTGATGAACCAATAAATATGGGTGATGAACCGACACATAGGTGATAATCTGGGTGATGAACCAACAGACATGGGTGACTATGAAGACCAACTAGCACATATAACTGAAAAAGTTAATGAAGATCTTACTGGACCTTTTCCCGGAGGGCCATATGATCCTTCAATTTTGAAGAGTTTTCATTGTCACGCAGCAGCCAAAATTTGGCATAATGATGTAAGTCATTGTCTTACATTAATTTAATGTTTTAAATTTTGTTTCAACTTTACTAATTCTTTTTTTTTTCTTTTTTCTTTTTTTTATTCTATGTTACAGGAACGTGGAATACTTAAATGCTTAAATCATGGTTTTAAAGTTGGAGAATGGTCATTCAACTTGGAAGATAATGAACAGTCCAAATTTCACGGTTTAATTATGGATTCGGGGTTGATTTCTTTAGTGAGTTGCTCCTATAAATTTGTAAACAAAGTTGTAGTTTCGGCCTTTGTGGAAAGATGGCAGCCAGAGACAATCATCTACCATTTGGTGAGATGTCACCAACCTTAGATGATGTTAGTTTAATTCTAGGGATTCCAGTGATTGGTAAATCAGTCTCTTGTAAGAAGTTATCAAATGTTGACGCTGGAAATCTTCTAGTTGAGGCTTTGGGGGTAACAATAGATGAGGCAAATGTAGCGTTGAAGGTAGCACGAGGCCAGTCTATCAAGGTAGAATGGTTGAGACAACGGTTTAGGTCAACGTCTAATGTGGACAATGATAATACCATTGAGTGTGCAGCTAGGGCATATTTGTTATATTTGTTAGGTTGTACCTTATTTGCAGACAAGATAGGCACACGTGTTCTGGTAGTGTATTTTTCTTTTCTTATGGATTTGCGATCGGTTGCTTCTTATGCTTGGGGTGCAGCTACATTGGCTTTTTTATACCGGCAATTGGGTACTGACAAGGTATGCCATAAAACAGATGGCGGGATACATGACATTGCTGGAAGCTTGGATTTACGAGCATTTTGTTGGTGCTAGACCCCACCCCAATTTGGACTGTAAAGAAGATCAGCCTTGTGTCTTTCGTTGGATTTCTCACACCCAATCTGGTTCGTCAACGTCTATTTTACAAAGGTTGCGAGAGGACCTCAACAGATTAGAGGCCCATGACGTAAGTGCCAATCTTATGTCAATGTATGTACGTATTACTTGCTATTATTCAATCTAATTCATAATTTACATATAAAAATTTTACTATTGCAAGTTATTTGGGATCCATACCATGATAAGCGTATTGAGAATCTTTTTTTTGATGTTTCTTATTATAGTGGATGCTTAAAATGTATGCACATTGTTGAACCATACCATCTAGATAGGGTATTGAGACAGTTTGGTAGGGTGCAAATTATTCCCTCACCTCCGCTTGCTCCAGTTCGAGCCTCTAGAGGATCCACTGCAAAACAGTACATCATTGCCTATAAATACTTGGATACGATTTGGGAGAGTTGGGAAAATCACTTGTTGTCTGATATAGATCGTAGTGTTCTAGTCTTGCATCTATGGGATTGTGTGCTAGGTTATTTGGACTGGTTTACTTCCATTTCAAACGTGCAAGTTCAAAACCTGACACATCGTTCTAAGTATAACCCACACACTGAGACATCAGCTAATTATCGTAAACTTCAATTCGTATGTCAATTTTTACCATTTTCATTTTCATATATATTTTGTTTAAGGCAATTGTTAAGTTTTATTTTATTGTTTGCAGCTCATTGACAGTGCCTTAAGCATTTCACGTTCAATGCTCGAAATCGGATATAATGAAGCAGCTCCCACCCGAGATATGTTACGCAATGCTATGAAGAAGATAACACAAGTCTTGGAGGGCCAACAGTCCACTGAAGAACATACACCATCAGAGAACTTGGTGTACACTCGTCGCAGGAAGCATGGAGCAACGTCTTAGACTTTAGTATTTGTTGGGTTCAAATGTTTTAAATGTGTATTTTGAAATCTTAGTCTCAAACGTATGTTAGACTTTTTGATGGTGTTAGACACAAGTATAACAAAGGTCAGATAACACTTTAGTACATGTTAGTTTGTCTGAGAAAAATTTTTGGCATATATTTTGATGGTGGTTTGTATATAACATAAGTATGAGCTAGGCTTGTATATGACTTTACCATACCTTTTTAGGCACTCAATGAATTATTTTGATGGTTTAGAATTGGTTTGATGGTTTGAATTGGTTTGATGGTTTGGAATTGGTTTGATGGTTTGAATTGGGTTGATGGTTTGGAATTAGTTTGATGGTTTGATAGTTTGTTTGTTTGAAATATTGGTTTGTTTATTGCTTTATGGTCATCACTGAATAAAAAAAATATGGACTAATGAATAAACATGAATTTTCTGCTCATCACTGACTAATCGAACAAATCCTCCTTATTCAGCACTGTAAAACTGAATCAAACTGACTCACTCAGCACTGTAATGCCGAACAGGTAGTCTTCGTTTAGCACTGTAATACCGAACATATATGGTTTTTTAGTACTGTAGTACCGAACATAAATGCTTGCTTGCCCTTTCACAGTTGCTGGCCTACTTATTTCAGCACTGTTGAACCAAATAAAAACAATTTCTTCACCACTGTATAGCCGAAAAAATGTATTTTGTTCATAATTGTTTTGTTAAACAATAATGATCCTGTTAACACTGTATGTCCGAACAAAATTTGTTCATCACTGTGTAACTTGAATCCATTCCAATTCACTTTTTTCATCAACTTCAATTCAGTATAACACAGAAAATAACATTCATTTCAATTCACTGTTTACCATTCCAATTCATTAGAACAAAGAAAATAACATGAATTAAATCCATTCAAAATACATAACTTAAATCCATTCCAATTCACTCTTTTCCATTCTAAGTTAGTTTAGCAAAGAAAATTACATAACTGAAATCCATTCTAATTCTATTTCCTAGCTCACTCGTATGACATTAGTCCTCATCCAAGTCTACTGTTTCGATTGTGGCTACGTCTAGATTGATGAGTGATTTGAAATGTTGCACTCTGAAACTGTATGCAACCTCCCAGCCTACTACACAAAGGTCATGGTACCTCCGCCAGTTAGTTGCTATGGGTGGAATAGGATGACTAGGCTCAAAAAAAAAAAAAAAATAGAATGTACAAAAATGTTGTCGTTATAATGTACAAGAATGTACAAAAATATTAGAATGTACAAAAATATTAGAAACCAATACTTGAACAAAATGGTTGTTGCTGACAAAGCCAATACATATCTCCTTGCGAGAGGCAATAGACGTCAGTATTGACCTAAGAGGGAGGAATGTCAAACATTGTTGCATAGACAAGCGGACCAAAATAACTTGGTAGAAAGACGATATAAACCCATGTCAGGCATCGTCATCCATCGGTCCAACCCAGGGTTTGGTTCAAAATATGCCAAGATGTTGGTAAGGTCATCGATTCTCTCTTGTGATCCTGTAGTGGTCACTATGCGCATGCAACTCTTTAAGTAAATCTTTTCTCACTTGTAACCATCATTCTTCTCCAAAACCCATCAAACTAGCAATAGCTCAGAACCCACAATTGCCATATGCTGCAACATCCTTAACGTATTTAATATATCGTCTCAATTCAGAAGGGAATGCCTCTAAAAAACAATTTGGATTCAATGATCGAAGCTGGTGAACCTATCACAGGCCAATGCCAATGTTAGACAATAAAGTAGACAACATGACACAATTACATACCTCACTAGTAAACCATGTACCTTTTCTTTCTTCTTTGTTTTCACCTTTCTTGTTGTTACACTCGCCTTGGCAATGACTTCGGGTGAATAACTATCTTGTGCTGAAGCAACTATTTCAAACGCAGATGACTCACAACGAGTGGAGGTCTCAATCTTCAATTTTGGCCGACCCCATGGATTAGACTTCACTTCTGGCTCAATAAAAAATGTACAATTAGGTTTGGTTAACTCCCTCAATTTTTGTAACAAAAACCTCTTCACATCTGGATCCACCTCCTCGAATCGTTTGGCAAACAATTCTAACTCAAGTGAACAAGTCCACTCTTCACTTACGATGTGTGGGGTACTCAATATATCAAGCTTAGTCCAATATGAATAAATCGAAGTGAGGGTAATTGGCCGATTTTCCCTCATGTAATTTGCTATCTCATGTGCACATGGCAAACCATGAGTACGTCGAACAACACATCCACATGCAGTAATATCAATACCAACAGAAGATACTCGTTTAGACTTTGCCAATATGATCTCTAATGCAGTAATTGAGACATTACCATGAAGCTCCTTAAACCGTGTAGGTTTGAAATCATGTTGCACAACTATCTTGCTTTTCTCAAATGATGATTTTATTTCATTATGTTGCAACTCAAGTAAATTGTGTATCCTTGTCTAATTCGACTCAAAATTTCCTTGACTTAATCCAAGATATCTTTTAAGTTTTACATGTGAACTCTCAACCCTATATATGAAAATAAATTGTTATAAAAATAATGTTATAAAAAACCAAACAACTAATAAATTTAAATGTTTGTACTTACCTATTTGTTGTAGAATTTCCAAAGTGCATAAATGTGTCAGTCCAAGCAGCCACAAATTTCGACTTGTATGGATCCAACCAAGATGAGGTAACATAATGAAGTGCATCTTGATAAGTACTGAACTCACTATATAACAAAAATAGTCGTTGCATGTATACTTCTTCAGACGATGACATAACCAACATATTCCAACTCATTATAAACATTTCCCATTTATCCTTTGTCTCAAACATCTTTTTGCATTTAGCAAGCACATTTTTTCCAATATGCCATCTACACAACAAATTCGTAGTTGCAGGAAACACCGTAACTATGGCATTCATAAGGGCCAATTCTCTATCTGTGACAATAACAGAAGGAAGAGTATTTTCATCCATGACACTATGCAAAAGACCAAGTTTGCATGTATAGTTATCCTTCTTCTCATACTGGAGGTATGCAAATGCAATTGAAAAGGTCATGTCTGTCGATGTCACACCTACAATCTCTAGAAGGGGCAACCGATACCGATTGGTCTTATAAGTACAATCCATCAACAATACTTTTGGAAATGCACATAACGACTTCAAACTAGTAGGATGTGCAAAGAACAAATTAGTCATTGTCTCAGTATCTGCACAGCTCCTATGCCACTCAATGTACTTGTTCATCGCTAACTAACCTAATAGTTGTTGCATTTGAGATCTCCCAGCTTTCTCAGCAACTTTATACCTATGACGTGCATTGTAAATTGTCTTCATTGTGGAAGAATTTGCATCATCACGTTGTTTCAATGTAACCAATATCTCACTCGGTCGTACCATACTCTTCAACATGTCTACCAACAAAGAGGTTTCCTCATGTGACAACCTTCCAGCATAAGAATGACCCTCAAGATATTCTATAGTAGGATGATTATGCACGCCACAAACAACTATCAAGATCCAGTCATCATTTGTGGCTAATTTTTTGCCCTTCAATAAAAAAGGACATTCACATTTTTTTGTACCAGTCAGTCTTGTTTTTTTTTTTTTGTCTTAGGCCTGCTATTTTTTCGAGTGTCCCTATAAGATCCACTCCTCTCACAAGCTAAGCTAAGTCTTGGCTTCCCACCTCAAATACCACCCCCATCTGATTTCTGCACGACAATAAGGAATTCATTTCTTCTTCCAACTTGACGTGCCCATCGAGTTAACTCATCTCGACTCTTGAATATCTAAAATAAATAAATTAAACTAACTATAGATACCCCATTTTTGACCGCCCTTAAGACTTGGGCGCTACTGATGGCTTCTTTGGTGATGAAAGTTGTGCAGTGCAAAAGGTCGATTTCTCCGACGAGAGGAGAGTCAAATCCTAACCTCACACCCCATTTTGGGACCAAAGCTATTTTGAATAGTTTTTAGACCTTAAAACCCTCTCTTTCAAAATATTTTTGAAATAAAGTTTCTACGATGCTTTGAGGCTCGCATTTTGTTAAATGATGCGCTTTTCGGTAAACCGAGCAAGGACAAAGTGGAAATGAATGAAAGAGAGTTGAAATCTTTGAAAAATCTTTCAAAACACCTTGTTAAGGGGTTTGGAGTTTTAGAAAAGAGGAGAAGAGGGAAGAAACCAAGTTGGGGGAGAAGTTGGGCATGAATCGTTAAGAGAAAGACGAGCAGTCCTCGCTAAATCGGGCCTATTCACTTGTATACTTGGATTGAAGCTATGAGGACACCACCATTGGAAAGAAGACTTTCGAGGCTTCATTTTTCACTCAAGAATCTCCTCAAGACGAGTCCGGATGGGAGAGATATGATTGTTGAAGTTGGGCATCATTCCGGTTGGACTGAAATTGAGCATCCTTCACTAAAAGAGGGATATCTCTTAGCACACATGAAATTTTGATGTGAGGCTTCCATAATTGGAAATAAGACTTCCAGGGCTACAGTTTAGGCTTAAGAATGACCTGAAAAGAAGTCCAGATGAAGGAGTTAGGCTTGCTTCAAGTCAGGGACCAAGACTAATTTTTGCCGTCGGCCTCTATGGAAGTGCATCGGCCACAATTGGAGCTCATCGGCCATAGTTCGGCCAAGAGTGAACCTAATCAGCCACAAATGATGGCCGTTCGGCCAACAAAGTGGCCAGTCGGCCAGAAGTGTCCAGAAAGCCCAGAATTGGCAAATATTTCTCATCCAGTTGTTGTACACTGCTCTAGATATTTCCAATTGAGATATTTTCGACCCAAGCTCTTGTTTTTGCTATATATGAAGCTATAACTCATATATTTCTAAGGTTATAACATTTTGAAGAGTTAGAAAATTTGGGAGCTTCTCATTCTAGAATCCTTTCTCTCTAGAAGATTTGTGAGCAAATTTTCCCTTCTCTCTAGAATTCTCTTTTTCTCCTCTTGTTTTAGGTTTAGAAGTGAGAATTTTCTACACTTTTGCAAAGAGACCCTTAATCATCTTTGGGCAAAGGTAGCTTGGGACTTTGTTTGAGCTCCAAAAGGCTAATTTGGGATCAGATTTTGGCTGGTTTTGCTGCTGTGCTTCAAGGTGCTTCACGGGTAAGCACTTCTCCCTTTCAAGCTTGTGTTTTGCACATTTGCTTTACCCTCCTTTTTCCATTGTTTTGGACTATTTTGAGGCTGGTTTTGAACTATAAAAAACTTTGATTTTGAGGTTCTAGAGTGTTGATTTGAGCCTTGTTTGGCTAGGGGGTTGTCTCTTCCTTTTGCTCATTGGCTTGTAAAGCCTTTTGAGTTATCTTTCAAGATTTTCAAACAACTTCTTTTTGGCCTTAAAACCAATGAATTCCAAAGGAATTTCAGTGGTAGAAAACTTGTTTTGAGGATCAAAATAGAAGGGGGTGGTCCCCTCCTCTTGTCTTGTTAGCATGTGTTGTTGGCCTATCAAATGAGCATATATTTCTCCCTTCTTGAGGCTTAGTTTGAGCATGTTTTCGTGACTTTTTAAACATGTTATAACTCTTTTTTTAGTTGGTTTGATCACTTGTTGCATGCTCCTTACACTTGTAGTTTAAATCCTATTTGCTAGCCTTGCATGCCTAATGAGTTAGCTTGTTATTGTAGCATGTGTTGGCTTAGTCTCAGCCTATTTTGGGTGTTATTTTGGCATGTTATAACTCTGATTTTGATTGGTGGACTCACCTCTTGCATGCTTTATACACTTGTAGTGTAACCCTTGCTAGCTACCCTTGCATGCTTGTCTCTTTAGCCTATTATTCTAGCTCATTTTGGCTATACTCCATACATGTTTTAGCATTATTTTGACATGCTTTAAGACTGTTTTGGGTGTTCTTGGCCTTTTGGGGTTTGCTTTGCGTAGCTATAGTGCAAGTGCCTCAACTAGTCTTGTGTTTTGAACCACTAGCACGCTATATTTGTGATGTGTGCATGATATAGCATCACTTGGCATGTAATTTCAGAGCATAAGTCATTGCCACACTTTCACATTTTCCATTCCTTCAATGTGTTTGAGAGTTGTGCCTTATGCCTTATTTGTGAGCTACCAAATGAGCATGTTCTTCTTGTTTTCTAGGCTGCCATTTCAGCACATTTCAGCCTCTGTTTTGGCATGTTTTAGGTCTGTCCATGGCTGGTTTTGTTGTTTGAGCTTGATAATGCATGCTTCTAGTGTAATACACTTCACTAGTTTCAATACCTTTGGCCTTTAACATGTCTTGCATGCATGTCTTGCATGATTTAGTGTCTTTTGCATGCCATTTCAGTGCTGAAATATATGCCATTGCACTCCATTGTTTCACTCTTTTATTCACTTTGAAAGTAGCCTTGAGCCCCTTGTTGGCTTGAACATGGAATTGAGGCTCTTATGCCTAATGGTTTTAGCCTTCTCTTGAGAGTTTCTACTAAACAAAAACATGAGACTTCTTTCATGCTCAAGGTGCTTGTGGCTTAGATCCTCTTTCAAAATTAGAGGACTCTCACTTTTGGACCTAACCAGTTAAAGGACTTATCAATAATCTAAAATGTGTAAACAAAATGAATCAAAATAAAACATGTCAAGATAACATGCTTATGTTGCATTGCATGTGTTTGGATCAAGCGTTAATCCAAACACAAGAAATGAGAGACGTTTCATACTTGAAGTGATGAAACGTGCCTCATTTCTTAGTCACCGATACCCTTGATTGTGCATGATAGGGTGGAGGCTCATCGAGTCTATTTGTGCATTCATTAACTTGTACACATTTGGCTTCTCGGCCATCGTGCATTGTGATGCTCTGTTGGTGGCCCGAGAGTTGAGTACCATACTCCTTTGAGCTTGAGACGTGATAAGGAGTGTGGCGGTACACACATTTCCTTGCAAATACACTGCCATGCCTCTGTTTGTGCTCTGTTGCAGCAAAAGGATGAAATTCAGGGAATCAGTGGCCGACCGGCCACCAGAGCAGCCGACCGGCCATAATTACTAGCCGATAGCCACCATCTCTGGCCAATCATCCCTCAGCATGTTCTTGAGATGGGTCAGAATCAATTTGAAAGTTGGCACAATTTTCAGAGGTCTAAAGGTGTGCAAACAGAGGCATCTTGAGGCAAGGCGGTGGATTTCCGAGAGGACGCGACCGAGCATGCATGCCTCTCTTGCCCGCGAGGCCATTTTACCGCTTTACTAGCTAGTTGTAGTTAATTACATGTTTTGTAATTAATTAGTTTAATCTGTGTTGTAATATTTAATTAGCTTAGATTAGCTAGTTATTTGTTTTGGTTTGTAATATTTAATTAGCTAGAATAGTTAATTAGTCGACTTGTAATGCGTAGCTTAGCTTAGCGTAGCTAGCTCAGCGTAGCTAGCTCAGCTTATTTAGTCGGACCCTCCGTTGAGAGGGCAAATGTTGTAATAAGTGTGCGTGTGTGTGATGCATGTCTTCCAACCTCATTTCTTTATTCCTTTTACTTATCCACTTTTAGTGGTTAGATTAGGACATGTTTCAATTAGCATCCTTATGCTTGCATGCGTGCATCATTCATCTGTCTTGCATGTACCGGGCTCGGCACATCATTCAAACTGCATTGTATTTCAATTCCTATTTGAATACATATATCAATTGTTGCATATGCCATCTTTAGATAGCCGAGCCTATTTAGCTGCATTTTACATGCGTTGCATTAGGCATCTTAACATAGTTAGGATCATGCATTGATTTCTAACTAGTTTTCTTTATTTGGCTCGGAGTACACCGTGAGTATTTACGCTTTAGCATCCTTGCATGTGTGTAAATGACTGCCATGATAGCATGCTTGCTATGAAGCTAACTGCTTAAGTGTTTAACTGCTTGAATGCCTGTGGATGAAGGCTTCATTGTTTGAAACAATTCATCAAAATGTATGTTTTAAGCCCACTTTGTGGAGTGGCAAAATCATGTTTTAAGCCCACTTGAGGGTGGCAAATCCGCGTCTTAGCCTATTTGCGAGTAGCACCTTCAAACCATTTTCGAAAACAAACATGAGATGTTTTGTTCCAAATCGAGCGATTTAGTCTATACTTGTATGCTGTACGCATCACATAGTAAGGTTAGCTTTAATAAACTGGAATAAGAACGCATGTGTTTTCAAAAATAACATATCATGTTAGTAGAGGCCGATCTTTGATCGGGCGAGCGGGGGTGTTCATTTCAGGACCTTTTCCTCTCGTACCCAAGTTCCCGAGCCAAGGCAACTTTGGTGATGACGGACGCGTGGCCTTAGGCACTAGTTAGGATTTCCTAAATTTCCCAAAACAAAATATTTAGGTGGCGACTTTGAAATCTGGCAAAGTAGTCCATGTTTGGCACTTTTTGATTCAAAATTGATTTTTCAAAACCAATTGCCGGTTTTGGACTCTTTGGTGATTTATCAGTCTTACATTACACTTTGTGAGATTAGATTCAGAACCATGACATGAGTCCGAACTGTAGTAGCTAAGAGCTACGATTCGCGCCCTCGCGCGCGAAGCGGAGTTCCGGGCGATCTACACTAACCAATTATTGCACATAAAAAAGGTACATTATTTGTAAAACAATCAAAGACTCACTTCATTACAAGTTCTGAATCAACCTTACTGTCTCTAGTCGAAGCATCACCCTAAAAAACACGTGTGAATGTAATTTCAAAATTGAAAAAATGATGTTCATTTCAACAGTCCCGAAACTAATGGTCTTGTTCAGTTCAACAATGACGAAAATAAAGATGATATTCGGTTCAACAGTACTGACTATCTGCATTAATGTTCGGAACCTATGTATTGAACGAAAGGATTATGTTCAGTACTGTATTACCGAACATAATTCTAACAGTCAGCAAACTAGTACCGAACAGCTCGAATGAAACAAGAACGACCGAAAACGACCGAGAATGTTAATACAAGATAGATAAACTTACCAATGAAACGCCGGTCTCACTAGAATTGTTGTCCTTGTCCTCCATTGCTCTACACAGTGAAATAAGTGATGAAGTATATGTTATACTTGAAGCAAAACTTTCAAGTTCAATAGCGTTGATGATGGTGATGAAGATGACACATTTAGGATTTAAGATGATTATGAAAAATAATAGATCTTACAAACATAGAATACGTATAGTTGGAGTTGGAGGTGGGGGTAGGGGTTGGTGTCCGATATTATAGAGTATTAATTCTTATTGATAGGTGGGTGTTCCATTTAATAATGTCTTTTAATGTAATTTTATTTTAAGGTATAATTATAATAAAAAAAATTATAAAATGGGGAGTCCAAAGAATTTTGCAGGTGCTAATAGCAGCACTTTATTTTTATTTTACATGAGAAGAAAAATTAAAAATAAGAAAATTATTGGGTGCAAATGGAGAGAGATAACACAAGTATAAGACGTCCAAAATGAAATAAACTCTCGCATTTTCTTTTAAATATTTTCAATTTCTTATTTTAATCCTGGATTAACCCATAAGCAAATTAAAACCCAAAGAGAAAAACTTCTCGTCTACTCACTCCAGAGTGTTAATCCCTGAGATTCTAGAACAACCTATCAAAACCCACATTACAATCTTCACTCTCTCTCTCTCTCTCTCTAAAACCTGTACAACCCAAAGGACACCCGTTGGAGGGCATTGTGGGTTTTGTTCTTTTTGTGGTTTTGAAGTTGTGATTTGGCTTATATTCTCTTGTGGGTCTTTTCTTCATCCCTCAAACTGCATTGTCAAGAGGGTGTTCTGTGACAAACTTTTGGTTAAACTTCAGGAGAGGAAGAGAGATTTTCTTGTTATTTGCTTATTTAAATGGGATTTTTTTTTTTTTTTCCTTCTAAAGCATTGGAATTGGGAAGCTTGAGTTTTCATTGAATTGCATTTTGGGATTTCAAGACTTGTGAAGAGTGAGAAACCGTAAAGTAATTGTAGAGTGATGAAGAAGAAGAAGAAGAAAGAAAAAAAATAAAGACTCAAAACAAGGAAGAAAAGGCTGAGGATTGGTGCTTTGTATGCAAGGATGGTGGATTGCTTCTTGTTTGCGGTTACAAGTGAGTTCTCAAAAATGACTTCCAAGCTTTTTTTTAATGTTCTTAAATAAAGTAAAATAAAAAACATGAAAGGAGTGATGAGAAAAAAATTTGGAATGATTGGAATTTTTCAATAAAAAATAAAAGAAATTATAGACAATGATTAAAAGAGATACATGTGTATAGATGAGAAACGAAATTTAAGTTTAAAGTGATTTGCCTTGGTTATTATTTTTTTTTTGTTTGTCATTACACACTTTATTAATCGTTCAAATGAGAAATCTTAGCCCTGCTTTGGCAAACATTTGGACTAAATAATCACAAAAAAAGCAAAAAAAAAAAAATCAAAATCAAAATAAAAAAGCCAACAAAAAGTTTGTCATTCCAAAGGCAAAAAGCCAAACAAAAAACTGAACAAACAAAAAAATTCCAGACAAAAAAAGTCAAAAAAAAAAAAGCAAAAAAAACAAAAAAAAAAAAAAAAAAAAAAAAAAAAAAAAAAAAAAAAAAAAAACCAACTAAAAAAATAATTGCCAAACAACCCCTCCTCACCATTATTTTTATTTTCTCACCAAATCATGGGACAGTGATTTGGGTATTTGTGAGGAAGAGTTCTCCAACGCCATGGACAAAATTGCCCCCCTTGATTACTGTTTCTTCCTTGGAATAAGGGGTATTTTTGTCTTTAAACAATGCTCTAGGTGGCTTAGAAAATGGGATGCTAAAATTGGTGGATGAGTTATGCACACGGGAGTTTTACCAATTTTTGTTGGTGATTGATGGTTTTGCTGGACTCCCTTTGCTTTCCCATATTGTTAGAATCCCATTTTCATTTTCTTTATCCTCATTTTCTTCCTTGGATGCCCAGAAACATTTTTGCAAGAACTCCAACCCTTTTACTCAAATTAAGTAAAAATAATTTGAAGCTTTTCAATGAATAAACTCTAATTTGAGTAAAATGTGTCGAGTTTGAGGGGAAACTATGGATTGGAAATAAAGGACATTAAGGGAAAGTTTTGGTAAAGTACCCAAAATGTCAGGTTTGGATTGGATGGAAATTTATGTAAAGGAAATGGGTTTTTCTTTATTTGGGTGAAAATTTGAGTAAAACTCTTCGTTTGGGAAGGAGGTTGCTTTTTGACAATTTTAACTTGGGGCTAAAGAGCCTCATTTGAATTGGAATTTTTGATTTTTGTGAGAAAAAAATTAGAATAATTATGATTTGGTTATGACGTTTTGTCTTATTGACTTTTTAGTCTATTTTGTTTTTTTGTAACTATTTTAGCAAAAAAAAATTCCAATTTTTCATGCCAAACGAAGGCTTAATGTGGTGCGAGTTTAAGTAATGGAGTGGAGGGAATTTTAGTGGCATTTTATTTAAATGTAAGTTCGAGTCTAAATTTGAGTGAAACTTTTGGTATAAGGCCAAGTTTGGGTAGTTTAAAAAAAGCCAAAAAGCTAAAAAGTTACTCAAAAAGTTAAAAAGTCATCACTATTCACCAAAAGTCAACAATTACGGCTGCACAATTCCCAATTCTAATTTTTTCCTACAAACTAATTTTTATAATTTTTTATTGCACATTTTTCCATAAAAAGTCAAAAAGTTAATCCAAACATTCATATTTTCAACCTCAACTTTTTAGTCTAAAAAGACAAAAAGTGCACTTATTTAGTCTTCCCAAACTTGGCCTAAGTTTGAGTTACAGAGTGGATGGGATTTTTGACTGTTTACTCAAATTTAAGGTTTGTGTCTAGATTTGAGTGACGGCTACTTGTGCAGTTATTCCTTAACCTCTTTTGTTGACAGATAGCCATGGCCTTTTCTTTTTTTGTTACTATTGACTAAGATGTATGTGTTTGGTTTCAATTTTTTAGAAATTGAGTTTTTTACTTTTTGTGTTTTTTTTATTCTTAATGAATATTTTTAAAATTTTAAGTAATTTTTTATTTTTATTTTTTTAGATGCACCTTATTTAAATATATCTAATAAGTAAAATATTTGTAAACAAATATGTTAAAAAATCAATAAATAAAGAAAAATACGAAAATGTATTGAATTTTCATATTTTTTTGTATTTTTGGTATTTAATGAATTTTTAAAATATTTTTTTCACAAATATTACACTTTTTAAGTGTCTTTATGTTAGGTGTATCTAAAAATTAAAAAAAAATTGATAAATATTAAAAAAAAAATCAGTGAAAACAAAAAAATATAGAAAACAAAAAAGTTCAATTTTCTGAAAAGTGAATTTGGAAAACTCAAATCAAACAATTATAAAGATTAATAGTATTTAGCTCATAAAATGCATGAACGATTATTGAAATTTATTAGGAAAATTATAGCTTAAACTAGTCCCCCGCACTTTGCTCTAATTTTCACTATCATTCTTGAAATTTTATTTATTAATTTTTTAATTTAAGCTCTCCTGATTTCATTATTATGTCAATGTAGTCCAACCTATTAACACAAAGGGGGAAAACTACTGTATTTATCAGTACTTTTTAATTGAGCTAATTTTTGGATTTAAGCAAAGAAAATAATAGTTCTGTAACTTTACATTGTCACTACTTTATTAATGGCTTTCATTATAATGAAATCTTTTTTATTCTTGTCATGGAGTTAATTTTATCATGTCTATTGTCAAATGTTCTGATTTCAGGGAGTGTCTAAAAGCTTATCATGCAGTGTGTGTGGGGAAGGATGAGTCATTTTTAAGTCTGGAAACAGCTGGACTTGCAGTAAGTCACTCATTTATATGTGATTTGGTTTTCTTTTCCTGTATTACATTTCATTATTTATTTGTTTTTTTTTTATTTTTTTACTTTAATGAAATATTTACTTTTTAAGTAAAAGCATAGCACCTATTGCCACATGTAGCATGCATGAAGTCTAAAAACTCATCAGTTGACATACAATGGCAACATGTATTTCAATTCCAATTTTTGGATGATCTTTAGCTTCCTATCTTCCATATAATTTGGTCAAGAATTTTTTTATTTTTTTATTGAATCGGGAAAGTTTTTCAGTGAGGCACTCGGAAGTGCAGCGAAGGGTGATCCTAGCTAAACGGGCCATTCTAGACGTAACTGTGAGATCAGAATAGTGAGATTCTGAACGGTGTTTTGGAGATTGTCAAAACATTGGGGTTTGTCATCTTCAATAGTCGGAGAGAGGTTGCTGGATTTTGTGGAATGCTGCGGAATCACTAAAGAGGTCAGAACAAACAGATTTTGACTAGATTGGACAACTAGATACAAATCCAGAGATAGATCATTGGAGACTAGAGGAGATCATACTTGATTAAATGGCGGATCGAGGGAGATCAAGATTAGTCAGAGGTGGTTAGAGGATTGCGAAAATGAGGGCGATTAAAGGATTGCAGAGATGATTATCTTCAGAGTTGATCGGAAGATCTGGTTCAATCAAAAGTCCACTTCATCGATGGACAGATGATTTGGCAACCAATACAAGCTTAGAGAATGTTGTGTATACGAGCTAGTACTGGTAAAAAACATGAACGAGTAGAACAATAGTTGCAGAGGAGTATACTGGGCGCAAGCATAGAGGTACAAAAGCACAGATGGGTGTTCAAAAGTGTTGTGCAAGGTGTAGATGTACAGTGCAGAGAAGGCGCGGGTAGAGTATGTAGTAGTGGGTTGTTGAAAGTTCACAGGAACTTCCAGATAGAGAAATTGAGATGGGTAAAACGCAAGGATACGCACCAAGGAGTGACAAGTCTCTTTTCTCTATGGCAGTTTCTATAGTTCCATGGCAGCGGAGGATAGAATTAATGCGGATCTCTTAAGCGAGCTCGACGCAGGGAGACCAGAAGCCATGAGTGTGAGCACTATGCAAGAAATTGCATAGCTGATGATGCTTTGACAGATGGAGCTACTGTCAACCAACAATCTACTGAACAACAAATCAGGGATTGCAAAGGCACAGACAACGAGCATATGAGAACACTATGAGGTTGTTTAAAAGTGCGGAGGGCAAAGGCTGATAGGTCAGAGGAAAAGCTCCGAGCAAAGAAGACAGAGGAAGTTGACCAGGCAAAGCGTGTTATTTGGAAAACATAGTGTTTTCAGTTACTCTAGCCATATATTGTGATGCATAGTAGGTTAGTGGCATTCCAGAGAGCAGCTGCAGTGTCACTAAGCACTCAAGGGAGTGCAAGGCATCCCAGGAAGGGGGTGTAGGGCATATAGTCAGGGGGTGCCAAATATCTTGGTTACGCAAGTTCAAGCATAGCAGATGAAGACATCCGAGACAAAGAAGTGTGGAAGAGATATATTGGAGATAAGAGCAAAGGGCTCTCTCCAAGAGAGAATCAGAGAGTGGTGTGAGTTGAGTGAGGATGTAGGATTGCCTCCTCCTCTTGTATCTCTGTATTTTCTCCGGTGTGTTATCTCTAGCTTCAGGGGCTGCAAGCGTCTCAATGAGAAAATGCAGACTATGCTGGACTATGGGCTTAACAAGATTAGCAACAGTGTGTTGTGGATCACCTCATATAGGTTGAGGAGGTGATTGTTGTACTATCACCCCATGTGAGTGGTGATCCTTTTCTTTATGTATGAATGGTTGCTGATGAAGTCAAGGAGTACGAGGGAGTAGGTGAGCAACTCCATCGAAAGAAGAAAAAGAGGGCTGGCAGCCAGCTCACATGGAAGACTTCCTCTCCTACCATTATGTTTATAAATGGAGAGAGAGAGAGAGAGAGAGAGAGAGAGAGAGCAAACCAAGAGAGAGTGAGAGATGTGAGGCAGAGAGATCGTCTCTCTCGGTGTGAGAGAGGGAGACGAGTGAGTGTTAGGAGTGAGAATGGTGTGATCTCCTCCTCCATTGTTATTCTCTTTATAATCTGTCCATTGTTATGGTGATAACTGGTTACTCTTCTATGGATGTAGGCATTGAGGCCAAACTACGTTAAATATGGTGTCTCCTTGGGTGTGTGTGTGTGTTTTTCTACTTGATATGATTTCTGGAAGGTCTTAGGTAGGATCCTAGATCCCCAACATATATTATATTTCGAAAGGTAGCTACTTATACATATTATATAACTCTATTTAGCATAATAAATACATTATCAACTTTTAGTCTTGGTTACAACAATAGGAATGAAATTTTTTTGATCTGCGAAAGTCAGTTGTTAGTAGTTAGATTAGCACCTATGAGAGCTAGCCTCTCCACCCTTGCAAAGCACCAAGTGCTCTCCTTCTAATTCAACTCTCCTTAGAGAGAGTTGAACCCATGACCTCCCCCTTGGGACTAAGCCCTTAGGAGAGTCATGGTGGCCAATTAGGCTAAGCCTAGTTGGTTATTAGGAATGAAATTACATTAATAAAACTCGTAGTCTTAATTTCTTCTATTCATTGGGCAGCGTGCTTTTTTTTATTTATATATTTTTTTAAATGTAGGTACAACACATTAAAAGAGTTTTTTTTTATATTTTATTTGAAGTGTTTAGGTTGCTCAACATAACAACCTAATTTTACTCTAGCAAACATTAAAAGAACGTCAATGATATAAATTGTCTAATACAAAATAATATTTATTTGGGCTACTAAATAGTCCTATTATGGTTGATAAAAAAAAGGGTCATACAATAATTCAAGTCGAACATAAGTTTTTCTTGATTCAGATTCATTCATGAAATTTAGATTTATTGCTTCATATTCAAATTTAGTCTTAATGTAGAGGATATTTTGGTATATTTCATTTGTATGTAATATGTATGTGTAATATTAGAAAGATGTTGTATTTTGGATTTGGTTCCAAATTAAGATTTTAGACTTTCATTATCTTTTATTGAATGAGATTTTGGAGAAACCCAATTCACACCAAGTCTAATCTATTTATTAGCTCAATTTTTTACCTAAATACTTCTCCTTGAAATATGTTGATGATTTGGTTGAATTGTTTCAAAAGCTTAAGTTGTTAGGAAATGAGCCTAACAATGTATATCAAACTACCACTCCCCTTAATATGTGACTCTGTTTCGCACATGGAGTAACAAGCAGATTGAGAGAACAAGGTGTACAAGTAGAATTGAGTGCACAACTTGTGAGAATATATTGTGTATATATGGCATTGTGTATATTAGCAATTAGGCAAGAATTAGGCAAGATTGTGGTGTAAATAGGAATCTTTGTATTTCCTTTTTTAGTCATAGATTTAAAGCTATATAAACTAATGAACTCTTTGTAACCAAACACAATTCAATATATAGAAAAGCTTTCAGGAATCTTACATGGTATCAAAGCTAAGTGTGAAACCCTAATTGAAATAGCAACAGTTCTCTGGCTTTGCTTGAGTTCATTCTCTGTCTCATCAAGTTTGTATGATCCATCTGAGTTCGAATCAAGGCCTAGCAATCGCAACCGAACCCTTCTGAGTTTGGTTCGCATCTGATTCGTGGTTGTCGGCTTTTGTCGATAGTGATTTTCTGGTCAAAGTCTTTGGGTGATCTTTGGAATCACGTTTGTCATCAGAATCTCCACTTCGGTTGTCGCGGGAGTTCCTACATTAGTTCAGTTGCCTCTCTAGTTCGACTTCATCAGTTCAGTTGTCGCTGGAGTTTCTTACCTGTTCGCGACCTAGTTCTCTAGCTCAACATCTCTCTCTTGTTCTCCTTGAGTCGTGACCTCGTTCTGGTTCTCTCTCTTGTTCTGAGTCATGATCTTGGTGTTCCTCTTTGACTGAGATATGGACTGACTACAAGTCTCTCTTACTCTTATTTGATCCATCAGTTTGTGGTTTATTACACTTCAGTCCATCAATTCTTTTTTTCGGTCTCTAGCTCATACCAATGTCAAATTCTAAGATTATTAGGCCACTGGCTTCAGATGAGTGTGTTTTCTGTCATCAGAGGGGTCATTGGAAGTATCATTATCCCAAGAAAGAATGCATGTCTATCTGCTTCGTATTCTCAGCAGATTCCAATCCAGTTCTACACCTTTTCTCTGAATATTTTTCAGCCTCCTATTAGTTCTACTACATCTGCTCCGGTTCTTGATCCTGACTTGGCTTCCTTGAGTGCTCAAATTAATCAGCTTCAGCATATACTGTCTACCTCCCAACTATCCCTGTCTGCCTCCATTGTTTTCTCTCTTCATTCAGGTTTGCTTGGGTTTTCTTTAGGTATTTCTTCGTCTATCTGGATTTTTGACTCTGGTGCCTCTCATCATATGACTTCCATCTCCCTTTACTTCAAAATTGTACTCCTCCTCCATTTCTATTACTGTCAATGCTGCTAATGGGTTTGATATGTTTGTTATATCTGTTGGGTCTGTTCTACCATCTAATATGCATGCTGTCACTATTCCCTTTGTTTTTTATGTTTCTCAGTTATGTGTCAGTTTATTATCTATCAGTCAGCTTGATGCCTCTGGTTTTGATGTTATCTTTTCTTCTTCTATCTGTTCTGTGCAGGATCGGATGTCTAAACAGCAGATTGGGACCAATCGTAGAGTTGGAGACCTCTATGTAGTAGAGAGCTTGCATCTGCCTATGGCCACCTCTCAGAATGCTTTTTTTTCTTTTCAGTTAGATTCTCTATCTAGTCCTTTCTACTTGTGGCATTCTAGATTAGGACATTTGTTTGCTAATCACTTATGGTCTTTAGCTCAGTCGGGTATATTGGGTAAAGTTTCTCCTAGTGAACTTACTGAATGTCAGGGGTGTAAACTTGCCAAAATGACAGTCTTATCTTTTCATAAAAGTACTTCTATATCTGATA